ATAGGAAGCTATGTGCAGAAGTGAACATCCCTTCTCTCCATCAAACCCCCACCCCCACCCCAATAGAGACAAGTTTATAGGCCTCAGAAGGGGGAAAAGGCCACAAGTCCTGACTAGTGAGAGGAATCTCACATTTCAGAGCAACAGCACAGAGGGCTAACCATTCTGAACTACTCCCTAAGTCTGCCTCCACTCCAGGTTGTAAACCTCAATACCTTAAATCTTCATAATTCAACCAAGCAGAAGACATCTAAAGCAAAATGTTATATGGACATCTAAGGCCTGAAACCTAAATAAGGATAATCAAAGCACAGAGAAATTTCCTTGTCATAAATGTAAGACTCCCTGGTGTGGAGAAAAGAGTGATAATCTATGTAAATTATATTTTTTCTAAAATGCTTTCATTTGCCATGGCAATCATTGAATCAAATGGCAAACACTGACACATAATTTTCCTCTGAAAAATTCAATATACTGTATATCTCCAGGGCATCTTCTCCTTTCTGCTGAATGATTTATATAACTTCACACCACAAAAGAAGCAACATTCCCTAAATTCTTATTAATAATTGTCCATGATTAGTTATGGATACAAACATCTGTAGAAGCACAGAATGCTCCTGGTTACATACATAGATTAAGTGAAATACTAGTATTTCCCTAATATTTTGTATCAAAAGAAATAGCTTATGGGCCTTAATTATAAGAAATCAAGTTGGATTCTCAAGGTCACAACCAATATATATAATAATTATACCAAAAGCTACATTAAGGTTGCAAAGCCACATAGTCAAAAAAGTTAGAACATGCCAGAATTAAGGTTGTCCATGTAATTATAATAATATATTGAATAGATGTTCATTAATCGATCACTGTTCATCCTGTGCACTGAATGAGGCAGGGGACCTGTGGGGAAAATAGCATGTGATCATGTAATTAAAGACAGCATAATAATGCATATGCACAAGGGGACTGAATTAAGGTTGCACAAACAACTTTAATTCTGGCATTTCCTAACTTTTGAGTGCTTGACTTTGCAACTTTAATAATGTACTTTCAATGTAGTTTGTGTATGTATCATTTCCTATGTTTTTAGGAACACAAACAGAAAAAAAAACAACAACCAGAAATTCCATCATATGGCATCATACTGACAACCACATGATCAGAACCTTTAGATCCACCATACAGATCTTTGCCTCTTGAGCACACAGAGTAACCAATAGCAATAGTAGACTGTCATCCTCTGTGTGGACCAGCACTAGGGGGGAATGAAACACACACTTTGCCAGAGGTTTTCACAGATATTTACTGAAAGTACAGGAAGGGTGAAACTCAAGAATCTTGGGTTCCTTTACAGGCTCTGAAGTGGAGTGTGCTGTAGTGGGCACAGATTCATCTGCCCATTTTACACCAAGTTGGATCCCCTTCTGCCCCATCCCTTCGTCTTTTCCCCACCCTGCATCTTTGTCTCAGTCCCACTCTCCTTGACTACCCAGGGCCTGTAATCACTCCTCAGGAGTCTCACCCAGTCTCCTTTTCCAGCCAGTCCCAGTCTCCCCTCCAGGTTCACTGTCCAAGTACCAGTCTCTCCTCCTCTCCACACCCAGTCCAAGTCTTTTTGCCCAGCCATTCCCAGTTACTCCTCCCAGCTCCTTGTCAGATATATCTATTCCCTTCCTCACCCCACTTGCTCCCAGTCTTAGTCTCCCTCCCCAGACTCCTCATCCAATCTCAGTCTCCAGCCCCCATTTCCTTTGCCCAGTCTCCCCCTCCCTGGCTCCTCAGCCCTGTGTCATTGCCCAGCCAGTACAAGTTCTCCCACTGAACTCCAAGTCCTTCTCAGATCCGTTTCCCCTCCCCTCTTCCCATTCCCTACCTCTGGTCCCTAGTCCCAGTCTTTGTGCAGCCTGCTCCAGTCTCTTTCCCTACCCCAGCTCCTTGCCCAGTCACATTGTCTCCCCACCAGCCAACTGGCTCCCAGGTCCCCCGCTCATTTCCTTTATCAGTTCCCAGCCTGTTTCCTTGGCCAACTAGTCCCAGCCTCCCCTCCCAGCTCCTAGTCTTCCTGCCTAGCCAGTGCCAGTATCTATACCCAGTTCCAGTTCCAGTCTTATCAGACTCTTTGTCCCACTCTAGTAATTTCCCTCCCTCACCCCTCTGGATTTTATCCCTCTACATTCAAATCAGAGGGCTTCCTTCTACACACTACCTGGGTGCCTACAGAGTGGGTCATTGAGAGTACAAGAGAGACAGTCCCTGCTCTCAATTCCAGTGCCCAGAAGTGGCCATTACAGGGAAAGACTGGCTTTGCCCCTAGGCTGAAGGAAATGTGCTCAGTTGCTCTGTGGAGATAGCGCATGTGCAGTCTGGGCAGCACTAGGAGCTGAGAGAGGCTTGAGCATGCCACTGAGGATGAAATCTCCAGAGATTTTAGCCACTCCAAGTGTCTACTGAGCAGGTCTGAAATACAGTTTTTCAAAGGCTAAGTGCTGAAATTATGGCTCTGTGAAATGTCATTTACACAGTCTCTAGTTGTTTGAGAAAGACAAAGAATGAATTCCATGTTCGTTTCCTGAAAATATGTAAGGGAGAAGTTTTGCAGTAGAAAAATTGTTCTCATGTGTTTTGTTAACAACATTCCAAACATTTATCATAAAAATGTGATAAGCTTGTAGGCATTACAAATGCATGTTGTAACTTGAGGAGAGATGTTGAAATAAAGTAGGAAGATGACAGGAGAAGACAAAAACAACAGAGCATGTAGGAGGTACAGCAGTGAGTTGGCCGAAATGGGGAAGAGACGAAGTCACCTGAATGACAATATACTGCTTTAGAAAAATGCTACTGCAAACTGAATCTATGCCTCTGTACTGGATTTGATTTCTAGAACAGCATTAAAATACACACAAAAGGCCAGATCCTCATAACCAGCTTTTCTAAGCCTCTGTCAGGGCCCATTGCTCCAGACCCAGCAGTGAAATGACCAGACACATGGATGGATTTTAAGCAGCAGGCCACAACTATAACTTAGACACAGGGAAGGGGCACTACCCACCCTTCACCCATACTCTCCTATACCAGACATTTAAGTAGCTCCAGTGCCGGTGTTTCAGAGCTCAATGACCACTGGGATCTGTCTGTGGCTCCAAAAGGCCCAGCTCACTAGCTCTGAAAGTGCAGAAGGAGGCAGCAACAAATGCCACTCTAAATAAAATGGCCTCCCTACCACAGCTGCATACACATGCTAGAGCCTTTAATAGCCCGGTCAGGGTCTCCACTGTTATGGATAACCTGTTGTTCTCTCCTGGACCACCTTTTAAGAGCGTCTGTACTATGAAGTACCCACATGGCGTACCAGTAGCCAGTTCTGGAATATAGTGGAGGGAGCCAAAGAAACAGTGTATCCCACCACCAGGTGTATAAGTATGGGCCATTTGTGATCAAACTCTTCCTGTGCCCTAAATTCTGTGAACTCTTATAGGCCCACTGAGTCCACAGGGCAACTGAGTCCTCACTAGTCCTATAGCTATCCAGGTTCCAAAGGCATTGCCCATGCATCCCTGCTGACAGGCGGGGTGATAATCTGCTATCCTGAAATTGAGATAGAGCCCCAGCAGCACTATTATCCACTCCTGGGACAGGCAGTTCATGAACATAAAACTCTTTATAAAAAGAAAGGATGTTTAACCACCGGCAGTGTAAAACGAAGGCCCTCACCTGCCTCATGCTTCAAGCATTCTTAGCCAACGGTCTACTCACCATATGGAGCACGGATCAGTTGTCGCTCCAGATATAATGACAGCCACCACTACAGGGGAAAAAACCTCTAGCAAGGTGACATCCCCAAAGTGCCCTGAGCCACCCAACTTTCTGGCCACCTCTGAGCACATCCCTTACCTTGAAAGTAAACCCCCAAAAACTCACTCCTCAAGGTGTTGGATTATACCTGCAGCTTGGCCTTGAGCAACCAGTCTGAACACCATATTGAAACCTATTAAACTCCTCCAGAAATCTTTCCCACATTTCCCTGGTGATTCCTGTAAAGTGGACAGGTTTTGTTGGTTTTTTTGAGGTGGGGTGGGGTGGGGTGATGCCAGATGGGCACAGAATGCCTCACCGGGCACCACCACTCAGCACACAAAGTTTAGGTGTGCCCCGACCCACACTCCATCATCCTGAGAGGGGACAGAGCATTCCACCTGGCCCCTTCAGAGTGGTTCCCTGAGTGAGCACATACAGGACCACCAGTAATACCCTTGGCCAGAACCTCACAAGCCGCTTCCTCCCTCCTCCGACTGGCCAATGACTCTAAGAAGGGAGGGAGGAGCTACCCAGTGTCCCTCAACAAGTATCTCCCTCCCTCACTGCTGGAGCTGTTCCTCTTCACTACCAGCCCAATCAACTTCCCCCAGCCATTGAGGTGTGTGGGCGGCACTTCTGACAATAAGGAAGCACTGAAGTGCAGCAACATCTTGGCCATATCCCTTTTATCTCCTCTACTCCCATCCTGCGCAGGGCAACAAAGATGGGGTAGGGGTATGATCGGGTTATACATGTGGTATACTACATGGGAATTATCCTATGCAGGTAAACCAACTTTTCATCTGCTTTGTACCACTCAAGCAGTACAAAGTAAGTAGAATAAGAGCCCGGATCTCTCCCAACACGTGAGCCACCTTCTCAGGTGAATCATGCTATATTTCCCCTCCCTCCATCTTAAGTTTCATAGAAATTAAATCTGCATTTCTTCAAAGGCTATCCAAATGTACCCCTGCAAGTTGTTCTTGTTGCTTTTGAAATTAGGCAACAAATACACATCTTGATTTACAAATAAGAGATCTGTGGCATATATATATATTTCTTCCATGTAACTGGTTGTCTTTTAATCCTGACCTGAATGTAGATCATTCTTCATGCACAGCTTCAAATAGCCTTTGAACTAGGATTTTTTGTTGTTGTTACTTTAAATGATGAAAAAATGCCCCCTTATTTTACAGCTCACATCAGATGCACCAAGATGAAGAACAGTGACAACACAGTTGTTCACCCATAACCCCAGGACATCAGGCAAACTGACAGTGTGTCGTTACAAAGAGGTGATATTAAGTTAAAACATATCGCTAAAGTAGTGCTATTGCAATATGCATCCCTTGGTTTTCAAGGCAGTGTTTAAAATAAAAAGCCTTCACTGAGACAGAAAAACTGCTGTAGTTACATCCTAACACACTGAGTTTCAAACCTTTTAATGAAAGACATAATTCTTCTCCTGTCTGCATCATACTATATTCTCATGCAAAATACTTTAATGTATAATGTAAATTATCTAAGACTTTCTTAGTATGTATTACATTTCTTAATCATATTGGATGTCATGTTGCAAAACAGATTGCTCGGGCTCTGTATGCGAGGAGGGTCTGTATTTGAAAACTGAGGGGGGCTTTTTGTTTGTTGTTTAAATGGGAAGTATTTGTTTCTAAATGCATATGTCATCAATGAAGCAAAAACCATTGTGTCCAAAATGGCTTAGCATTCTAAGTTTTTTTACCCAAAACCCTCTGAAGCCTGGAGATGTGAATACAGCATCTGGATGATCCAGTTTCTCTGAATTTCAATATAAATATTATGGCCATATTTGGAGCTGAATGAGGTGGAATTTATCTGAGCTAATGTTTTCAGCCACATTTACCCTTCCATTCAACAAGCTTTTGGTGCAGTCACAAAGATGGTGGTTTTCTTTTTCTTTAAATAATGAATCCTATTTCAAGCAGGGCACTGCATTGCCAGCTTAGCAAATCACTTTGTCCAGGCTAGGAGAACAGGAATTGCACAGTATTAGAATGTAAATGGCTGAAATCTTCATTGGAAAGGTCTGAACTTTGAATTATATGCCAGGTCTTATTGATGAGACCCTACAACCTGGTGCTGCAACATGCTATCTGATTGACTGACATTATGGTTGACTGGCATCTGGTGCATGCTTACATGCTGTGCAATGAAAGTGCTAAATAAATCTTTTTATACATGCTGCATTCTGAATTTCATATGTGGCTTCCTAATTTTGAAAAACTCCAAGATAACAAACAATTTAGTCTCAGCACCTGATTCTCCACTGTCTTGATCTGAGGTAGTCATTTATGCCTGAGCAAAGCAAGAGTAAGATGTTACCTAATCAGAATGGCAGAATTTACACCATGGGCATAGTTGGGGGTGGCATGCGGGGGCCGTTGCCCCCCAAACTGCAAGCCATGGGCAGGTGTGGAGTTTTCCCCCCACGTGTGACCCCACTGGCCTGACTATGGCTGCCCCCAACGCAAATATAGAAGTCAAACTATGCCTATGGTTTACAGTGGTTTTCAATCTTTCCAGACTACTGTACTTCTTTCAGGAGTCTGATTTGTCTTGCGTGCCCCCAAGTTTCACCTCACTTAAAAATAACCAGCTTACAAAATCAGACATAAAAATACAAAAGTGTCCCAGCACACTATTACTGAAAACTGGCTTACTTTCTCATTTTTACCATATAATTATGAAAAAAATCAATTGACATATAAATATTGTGCTTACATTTCAGTGTATAGCATATAGAGCAGTATAAACAAGTCACTGTCCATATGAAATTTTAGTTTGTACTGCTAACTAGTGCTTCTCATGTAGCCTGTTGTAAAACTAGGCAAATACCTAGATGAGTTGATGTACCCCCTGGAAGACCTCTGTGTACTCCCAGGAGTATGTGTATCCCTGGTTGAGAGCCACTGGTTTACACAGATGTAAATAAGTTCATAAGGTGCAAGGCAGTGGGCAGTAGGGCCCTCAGAGCTTGTGGGCATTTGGCATGGGCACGGGCACCTGGGAACAGGACATACAAATAAATACTAACAAAGCCCTGATCTTGTATTTAAAATTGCATTATCCATGATTTTTTATCTTTGAAGATAGCTCAGACATGCTGATTATATCAGCTCTAAAGACTGACTTGATTGTTGTTATATTTCTGTCTGTACGTAAGACAAATACATATAAATACAAACAATCAGCCAAATTCTTAGAAGTCATGAGCACTCACCACTCCCACTGATTTCAGCCTCTCAAGATTTGGCTCAATATTATTTCAAACTGTCAGTGTTCTTGAAATCAGTTACTTTGAATTATGGAAAAATGTGGTTATCTAAAAAAGTGTCATCACCAACAATGTTCCCTTGACCAAATTCTCTTGGATAAATGGTTCTACAATAGCTCAGACAGTATTACTGCGGGCCAAATATTATTAATCTTCATAAATATAGCCTGAAAACTGAAAATTGTAAAGCAACATATACCTGTTAAGAATGAGCATTTATACAAAGCATGTAAAACCCAGTTTTGATAAATATAAAGCTTTAAAATTAATGTCTTATAATGAAATATAGACCAAAGTAATGAAAGTTAGAGACAATATCAAAGGTTGTGACACTTTTTTGAACACAGCACAAAAGGCTCCAATAGGAACAACTTGTATATCTCTTGGTCTTTTATTCAGCCTGGATCAATCACTGGCTGATGCTTGTAGCAGTTATTCATGACCTGTCTGGTGGCGTTATGACCTTTTCTATTTTATTGTTTTATTTGATGTTTGTGGTATTTTATATAATTGATTTATGCATTCTGAGATGTTTGGGAGCTTTCTAGTAATATACAACAGTGCTTGTCTGTCTATAAGTAATGACACATATTTCAGTTACTGTGCCTTCTTGGCCAGGTCACCATTGTAAATAAAACTTGTTCTCAATAGACTTTTATGTGGTTAAAGATTTTGACTTCTTGAGTGATTGATTGAAAGGAAAACGTTTGCTAACAGTCTACTGAGTGAACACACAAAAAAGTATTATTTATATCACTAATCCAGAAAAAATATTTTCAGCCTTTTAAAATAATAGGATAAAATGTAGCATAAAACCATCCAGCTTCTGTTTTGTTCTGCTGTCTATATTTCCCACATTATGAAACATGCAATGTCTTACTTTCCTTTTACATTCAGTAAATTTCATTGTGTTTCACAGAGTTCATTATGGTACAGAGAAGGAAGTATCTCCAGTGTGGCAGATTTTATCAGAAAATATACTGGAACTGTCCTTTTATTTACTTTTCCTCCTCTCAAAACCCTATGTATTTTTTTAAAATCAGAGAATGCATAGAATTGGAGTGAATAATCAGGCTGCATAAGTGGTGAAGTTCTCCTGCTAGTCAAAGGAAGTTCAAACTGCTTTTCATGATATGTGGGTTATACAAAACTATCTGAATCAACTGATGCCTGCTGTTTAATCAAGAAACATGGACCAGGCTATACTGTAGAACTTCAGAGTTACAAACTGATCAATTAACCACACGCCACATTTGGAACCGGAAGTACACAATAAGGCAGCAGCAGAGACCAAAAAAGCAAATACAGTACAGTTGTGTGTTAAATGTAAACTACTAAAAAATAAAGGGAAAGCAGATTTTTTCTGCATACTAAAATTTCAAAGCTCTATTATGTTAATGTTCAGTTGTAAACTTTTGAAAATATTTTTTTTTCAGTTACGAACATTTCAGAGTTACGAACAACCTCTATTCCTGAGGTGTTCATAACTGAGGTTCTACTGTAGTTATATAATACTGAAAATTAATTTTAGAATGTACAGATAGTGGATTTTCTGATGTTTGTATTCTGAAACTCTCTTTGGATTTCTTTTGCTCAGCTTCCAGAGAACCTAATCACGATATAGAAAACGAGCTGTTCAGCACTGTTCATACACAGTAAAGGTTCAAGGCTTTGGTAATCTTCTCCTCACTAGCACCCATTCATATCCAGATTCAGAGATTTCAGGGTCAGAAGGGACAATTGTGATAATCTAGTCTAATCTCCTGTATACCACAATCCACAGAACTTCCCCAAAATAATTCCCAGAACATCTCTTTTAGGAAAAAAGTCAATCTTAATTTAAAAGTTGTCAGTGATTGAGAACCTACCATGATCCTTGGTAAATTATTCCAATGGTTAGTTACTCTGTTAAAAATTTACACCTTATTTCCAGTCTGAATTTATCTAGCTTCAGCTTCCAGGCATTGGATCATGTTATATTTTTCTCTGCTTAATCAAAGAGCCCATTATTAAATATGTTTGCCAGGAAGATACATGTAGACTAATCAAGTCACCTCTTAACCTTTCAGTTAAATAGATAGAGCTCCTTGAGTCTATCACTATAAGGCATGTTTCTAGACATTTAATCATTCTCTTGCTCTTCTCTGAACCCTCCCCAATTTATCAACATCCTTCTTAAATTGCGGACACCAGAGCTAGACAGTGTGCCAGCAGCAGTCACACCAGTGCCAGAAACAGAAGTAAAATAACCTCTCTACTCCCACTCAAGATTCCCCTGTTTATGTATCCAAGGATTGTATTAACTCCCTTGGCCACAGCGTTGTACTGGGAGCTCATGTTCAGTTCATTATCTACTACGACCCCCAAATCTTTTTTGGAACCAGTGCTTCCCAGGAAAGAGTCCTGCATCCTGTAAGTATGGCCTACATTCTTTGTTCCTAGATGTACACATTTACATTTAGACTTATTAAAATGCATAGTTTGCTTGCACCTAGTTTACCAAGTGATCCAGATTGCTCTGGATCAGTGACCTGTCCTCTTCATTATTTACCACTCCCCTAATTTTCGGGTCATCTGCAAACTTTCAGTGATGATTCTTCCTGCCATATCATTAATAAAAGTATTAAATAGTGTAGGGGCACGGACTGATCCCTGTGGAATCCCAGTAGAAACACATCTGTTTGATAAGGATTTTCCCCTTTACAATTACTCGGATTTTGAGTCCTATCAGTTAGCCAGTTTTTAATCTATTTACTGTGTACCATGTTAATTTTACATCTTTCTAGTTTTTTAAAATCAAAATGCCATGCAGTACCAAATCAAGAACCTTACAGAAGGCAAAAGAATATTACAGATTATTATGTATAAATTATCATCAATTGAATTTGTAATCTCATCATAAAAAGATACCAAGTTGGACAAGATCTATTTTCCATAAATCCATGTTGACTGGCATTAATTATATTACCCTCCTTTAATTCTATATTAATCAAGTCCTGTATCAGCTGCTACATTATCTTGCCCAGGATCAATGTTACACTGACAAGTCTATAATTACCCAGGTCATTGTGTAGACCCTTTTTAAATACCATCACTATGTTAGCTGTCTTCCACTCTTCTGGTACTTCCCCAGTGTTCCAAGACTTTTGAAAAAAATCAACATTTCAGAGTTCAGCAAGCACCTCGCTCTTTTAAAATTTATGGATGCAAGTTATCAGGACCTGCTGATTTTAAAAACTTTTTTTTAACTTTAGTAGCTGCTATTTAACATTCTCCAGGCACTAAAGAAATGGAAAGAGTTATCATATATGATCACATCTGCTGTTTCGCCCCCCCCCCCAAATATAGAACAAATATTAATTGAACACTTCTGCCTTTTCTGTATTACTGATAAGTCTAACATTTCTATCTACTAATGGACCAATACCATTGTTAGGATTCTTTTTGTTCCTAATATACTTTAAAACTCCTTATTGTCCTTAACTCAGCTGGACATAGATTTCTCCTTGTGTCATTTTGTTCCCTTATTAAATTTTCTACAATTCCTATCTTCTGATTCATATTCATTACTGTGAACTTCCCCTTTCTCTCCTTTCTTATATACAATTTTTTATAGATCCCTTCACTTCCCCTCTAACCCAGGTCAGTTTTTTTACCATTCCAGCCTTCCTCAGTTGCCCATAGTGGACATGCTCAGATAAATCTTTCACATTGACAAGGCAAGCCTCTTTCTGGATTACACGACAAGGCAAGCTTCTTACTGTATTACAATCTCAGCAGTGAATTTGTCCTAAGCTTTTACTTCTTTATACTTTCCTGAGCCCTGCTAACATATATATTAAGGTTCTGGACCATGATCTTAGTTGATATTCTTCTATTCAAATAGTCAAGACATTGGGTTTACATCTCATCCCCCAAAAATCAATACTTTCAACAGCACACTGCTTTCCCCATAGCACTGATCTTGGGCACTGGCTGAGAACCGACGCACAGAGAAGAGAGCTACATACTGTATGATCTTGGGTTTTTCTCAGAGGACTCCCATACAAGCACTGGCCAGGCATGACCCTGCCTTACTTCAGAGTCGTGACAAGATCCCAGCCCAAGGAGTTATTGTAGGCATAGGTGCTGGAACTAGGGGTGCTGCTGCACCCCATGGCTTCAAGTGGTTTCAATCATATGCCGGGTTTACAGTTTGGTTCAATGGCTCTCAGCACCCCCACTATACAAATTATTCCAACACCCCTGATTGCAGGGTCATTAATCAGTGTCTACTTCTTCCCTCCCCTCAACCCATGACTTAAATATCTTAGGTTGAAGAAGCACTAGCAGGAGGAAACAGACTTGTTTAAAATATAAAGAAAGGAGAAGAGAAGGTCAAAACTTCACTGAGTGAATCACCTCAACTACAAAACAAAATTGCTGTTAATGTCCTGTTTTAATAATACATCCCATAGCGAGAGTTCTTACCCTTAATTCAGTACAGTGGGTTGAATTTATCCCTTGTATAACCTCATTCACCTACAGAAGTGTAACATTAATGGAGTTGCAAAAGGGATACATATGAATATGGCCAGGTATGTTTGTTAATTTCCATCTAGTTACAGCTTCCAGGATAGCAATTTTCTAGAGTATAGAATTTGCAGTAATTACGTGTAAATTTTAGGAAACTGCTACTTCTACTACTCTCTTTGTCAGGGAAAGGAAGGAGACTCAAGTTCATTTTTTCTATTAAGCTAAATAGATTTAAATAGATTCTCCTTTGGTCCCTCAAAAGTGGCGGACAAAATAGTTAAGTCAAACTGATTTTCTTGCTATACTTTGTAGCCACTTCTATGGAATAGAAGGGTTACAAAATTACATTCAGAGGCTTCCTAACTACACTTTTATTTACCAAGCTACAACACAAAGTTAAATGGTGGAACAGGAAAGAATCAGATATGCAACAGAAGGAAAGAGGGAGAAATAATTTTTAAAAACCCCTGGCTTTTCCACTAGCTCGTCAAGTGATCTATCAGTGAGCTAACGGGGCATCTCGAATACCTGAAGAAGCTTTATTATATTTATCACCCATCACTCTTTATATCTTCCCTCAAGCTCTGATATAAATTTTAAGTAGAGATAAGCCAAACTATTGTCAAAAAAAATTAGGTGCTCTTCAACACTGGAAAACCTCCGGATACCTCTGGGTTGAATGAGTGTTTTGATTTTTTTGTGGCGGCCAACTAGTGGCTGAACATAAAGCACAGTCACTGGGCTGGATCCTTGCATTCCTTGCACACAAACACACACTATGTTTATGTAAGATGTGAGACTCTGCTAGATACAGTTAGGTTCCAGGTTCTTTGCTCAGGATTTTGGTGTGCACAAAAAATGGAGGATCAAGCCCTTAATTATCATAACCTCACATCTGGTGACTGTACTCACCCTGTTTGCATTGTATACATGACCACAAGTGTGATTCAAAGGGCTCTGGCTGTCCTTAGGCAGAAGCTCTAGCAGGGACTTTCCCTCTGGCCAACCCATTAGGAACTATGCTCAGATCACCTTAGCTGGAAGCTACCTTTGTTTGTGCATATCTTGTTCTAACCTCACTGATTTGGTTTTTGTCTCTCTCTCTCAGGTGGAATTAATCAAAGAAAGCATCATTCCAGGAATGGGGGGTGTTATGGTACAGGGAAGATGAATTGGCTGTGATGTCAGAATCCTGAGGAGCAGCAAAGATGGATCAGATACTACACAACTTACCCAGAAAGACTGGCATGTGGCATCATTCTGAATGAAGTCCAGGAAATAATGCTTCTAGAAATTATGCTTCCTGAAGTGAAGTCACAGCATTTGACAACTCTGATTGTCAGGAACGATGATATCTAGTCCCAGAAGTACCACTTCCTTTCATTCAGAGTCCTGGCATACGTACTGGCAGAACAGCAAGTTGGAAGGCTGAAAAACCCAACCATATCTCATCTAAGGAACATACAGTTTACCATACCAGATTGGACCAATTATCCATCAAGACTGGAGTTCTGTCTTGCTAATGGACTATGTTTGATGCTCCGAAAGAAAAACAGCTGGCCAATTATGCAGGGTTCGCCATGGTGGAAAGGGTGGGAGGGTTACTTCATATCTCTATGGTAATCATCACCCTGAATTATGCAGTTTGATTGCCCCATTCTAGCAAGTAAAGCTACAAATGTTATTACTGGTCATAAAATTATGTAGCCCTTTAAAAATCCTGCTACAGTATTTAACTCTTTGCCCTCCACAGTTTAACTGCTGTATAAAATAGTATTTAAAGTAAAGCTGAAATTAATTTGTCAATGGCAAGCCATACCTTTGGTTTTACTCATTTGCTTACCACTAAAGACTATTTACTTCCAAAAAAGGCTACATTTCTCTGTCTTGTGTATGAGAGACTTTTGCAAATCCAAGACTGAGGCATCTGGCTAGGGCCAGAAAGAGCATGCAGTACACCATGCAGGCTCTCCAAACCACTCTGCCTATGTACCTCAATGCTAACTTGCTGTACCTGTGATCTGCTTGTTACTAAGCCTGTCCAGTTCAAATAATAAGTATTAAGCAAATACCACTGATAGTTTTGGGATACGAACGAGGGCCCACTGAATACAGAAATGAGGCAATCAAACTCACTTCATGTACCTGACCATTGAACTCAGGACTCTCTGTTAATGCTTTAATTTTGTCCCACTAAGCTTTTCTGAAAATTGTTTAAATAAGCTTCCTTTACAGAAAGAGAAAGCATGATGGGAGAAGGAACAACATCTTTAATTAGAAAAATTCAAATCAGCTCTTAATTTAATTCACCACACCAGCAGCCATGATTAGATCTGCATCATGATATATCTCCAATACAATCAATTTTCATAAATGCAAACTTTCCTGAATATGGTTCTGATGTATACTGACATTTTAAAATATGTCCTATTGTCCTTTTCTGTGCAGCAGACCAAGCACAGAGTGTTCAGTCCTATATCACTGTCACAGTGGTATTAGACCAGATGGCTGCTTCCTTGCAGAATCAAGAATTAGAGATAATTTATGCTGTTCACTGTTATTAAAATGTAGAAATATAAGGAGTCTGTAGCATCCATACATGAAAAGTAGCTCAGATCCATCAGCAATACACTGGTGAAAAGGCTCTTTATACTGCTACCACACTCTTAAGAATAAAGTTTCATTCCATGGAGCTGTGGGCATCTATTAGGCCAGCTGACTGTTTCTTTTGCACATGACATGTTGTAGGGCTAAACTGATCTAGGATACAGGGTTACTTTGTTGGGAAAGGTTTCAGAGTAACAGCCGTGTTAGTCTGTATTCGCAAAAAGAAAAGGAGTACTTGTGGCACCTTAGAGACTAACCAATTTATTTGAGCATGAGCTTTCGTGAGCTACAGCTCACTTCATCGGATGCATACCATCGGTCCTATATCACTATACCATACCGATGGTATGCATCCGATGAAGTGAGCTGTAGCTCACGAAAGCTCATGCTCAAATAAATTGGTTAGTCTCTAAGGTGCCACAAGTACTCCTTTTCTTTTTGCGAATACAGACTAACACGGCTGTTACTCTGAAACCTGTCATTATGCAAGGCACTGCATTTAGCCGTATGGAGTGGAAATCTATCAACTGCATGAAAAAACTTGCTTCTGCAGTTTCCACGGTATGCATCCGATGAAGTGAGCTGTAGCTCACGAAAGCTCATGCTCAAATAAATTGGTTAGTCTCTAAGGTGCCACAAGTACTCCTTTACTTTTTGTTGGGAAAACATATTAAATTATCCTACAGTGAAAAATCTGAGATCCCCTTTGTTTTTTATTTTCTTGGAAAACAATTGTATGAACATTCCTATTAATATTTGTGGGGGATGGTTGTTTGTGTTCATGAAGAGTTAAAAATTGAAGTTCTATTTATCCACAGGCTTGCTAAACAGTCCTGAAGGAACTTCTCCATAATATGATATATCCAAAGACTTAGAAAATACTTCTTAGGTTGAGAGCTACAGAATTCACTCTATGGTTGAAGTCCTGACCCCACTGAAGTCAGTCTGAATGAATTCACTCTTCAGCATGGACTGTCATCTGCCTAAATAATGTCTGTGGCATTTTTGAGGATAAAGTGACCCATAGCAACTCAACAGTGTGCTGAGACCACAAAACTTATTTCAGTTAGGAATCTCAATGTCTGTATTTCAAAGTTTAAAAGTCTTAATTGTTTTTATAATAAATATCATTAATAAGGTTGAGGGTTTGTTGCTGAAGGAAATACAACATATTCAAGAATACAAATAAACCATCAAGAATTCTTTCATGTCATAGGATCATAGAAATTAGAGACACAAAAGACCTTTTAGGTGAACTTGTCCAACCTGCTACCAGTAAAGCATTATTCACTGCCGTATATTTCCTAGTACTTTGTACAATCTAGTTTCAAAGTGTTCCAAGCTCTGGAGGGAGAGAATCTTAGTAACATTATCTCATCCCATCATTCTTAACTGGCTAGCAGATTACTTGCAAAATATGGAGAAAATACAGTGGCAGAAATGGGGTAACTACAATTACACATACAAAAAGTAAGAGTGTATCGGTATACAATTTACACAGTGAGAAAGGACAACACAATGGTAAAGATAGTGTACAGCTAGTATAGTTAATCAGTTTATTTTTCCAATGCAGGAAGTTTATCAGAGCACTCACCCTACATGATTTCAGGTTTATATTCAGATTAATGACAATAACTCTCCCATCAATATCTAGGAATATTACAAGTCAATGGGGAAAATTTTATCGGCTGCTGCAGTTCATTGAGATTTAATTGATATGACATAGTTACTCTTCCTGAACCTAGGAAAGTATATCATTGAGTAAAATGATTTAATTCACTTTAAGATCATTTTAAATTAAGCCAGGAAACATTAAGGGCAGATTTGTTTCCAACTCTTCCTGAGCATAATTTGTACTTATGGCACATGATGTAGGTACTCTGACATTGAATGACTGACTAGCACCTTATGAAAGTCATTACTTATGTACCAAGACCAATATTTGTAACATAATGTGTTCTTAAACTGATCAGGACAGCAGGAGGCAGGTAAGTGGATCACTTATCTTTATTTTGTAATTTAACCAATGCTGTGACAAGGCACAAAAATAGATAATTTATAATTTCCACTCAGCCGTGCATACTTTGAAGTAATCTTATAAGTGGTTAGTAAAATTACAAAGAAAAGGGATTTTTGCTGCCAAATAAAATGGAAAATGAGAGGTTGTTTTAGAAGCAGAGCATAATGAATTCCTGGCTGGATGTTTAGACCACATCATAAAGACCTCTTGCATTTTAGATTCCTGTCCAGTATTGTTGATGCCTGGATTTCTCCTGATTCCCTCTCTATGCCTACTAGTAATTTTATTAAAAAGTCCATCAGCATGGAAGATAGTTGTTATGCAGGAGCAGTAACTCTCATAATGTGAGATGGCATTTCTTTCCAGCTCTTGCAGCTCCGCTGGGTCTAATAGCAACCTGGAGCTCAATTTCCTCCTCAAGAACATTGCATTTCATGTGGAATGTCAATTATTAAAATGCAGTGTCCCGTGTCTTACTTTTCACTAGATGAATTCATTTGCAAAACTTGCTAATTTATGCAAATGATCCTTAACCTCTAACTGCCTGGTATGTATTTCTCAGTACCTCTTTGCAGCTCAAAGGTGTATGAGGGAAATAAGTGCATAAATGCTCCAACAACCAAGCAGTGCTGAAATCAGTCTTATCTTGCCACTACTACAAAAACAGAGATTTAATTAAAAGAGAATCAAGGAGGAATTATCTGATAACTATACCTACTGTCATGTCTCAGTAGAGTTAGACCACACTGCTTGTAACCTGACACATAATCTGCAGAGTCATCCAATCCTGGTGAAAAATTATTTTGATTCAGTTGATCTCTAAAATATTTAACAGGATTCTTTGTATAAATAAAGATGAGCTGAAACTTCAGCTTTGAGAGAAGTTGGGGGGGGGGGGAAATCCACATTTTTTTAAATGATTGCTGTGTATATAACGGACCAGCCAAAGCCCTGCCTCTGAACCAGCACAAACTCTGGAGTATTTGAAATTTGATTTCAGATCTAGATCCAGGTCCAAGTTTTGAAGCATAGGCCCAACTCTGCTCATCAGTAATGATAATGAAATAGGTAACCATGTCTTCACATAACATATATTGTTTTTAACTTCAAGGGAAATTTTTCCATTAGGATTTTAGAAGGCACAGCCACAATTGTTTTAGTGTGATTACATCTCACAGGTGACAATTGAAAATGGCTCCCAGATTCTGGCTGCAGCAGCTACATCCCCACCAGAGGTGGCATAAAACAGTTATTGATCCACTGATGGTGCAGTTGGAGCGTTGCCAGATTCTGCTGCTTCACTTCCCAGGAAGTTCAAATATTTTCCTTTTTCAGTTTATGCAAGTTTGCATGCCTCAGTATTTTCCTTGGAGTTGTAGTGAAACCACAAAAAGCAAAACTCAGACAAAACTTCTGACTTTTGCCTGGTTTCAAGGCCATCATATTTTGCTTGCTTTCCACCCAAAAACCTTCTCAGGCAAGACTAGAGTCTTGAATATTTTGTGAATCTGCCCCAAGTTTTGGGTTCTAACAAAACCTGACACTACCAAGTTTCCTCTGAGTTGTTTTTGTTACCGTTCAGTAGTTTCACACAGTCCAAGTACAATAAGCCAAGTTTCCTGTGTCTGTCATTATGCCACAACCCCAGTGCCATTCACTGAAATCAGTAAAGACTCTTTCACTGGTTTGTCAAGAGACCTTGGGCCAGACTATGGTCTCTTGTGACTTGCCTTTTTGGATGCAGAAAACAGGTCACTGGTTTATTTTTAGACCCCTCCCACAAGGAAACCTTCCTTTCTTAGGAGTCAGATGAACAGGACTCCTTTGGGTCTAGCATTGCCATTCCTCAGCTAGCTAGAGGGGTCACTGCAGTGCCCCTCAAGTTCCTGCTGGCCTGGGAATCTCATGACCAGTCCTGGGATCCATGATTTTGTAATTAACAGTCTCCTCTCCCCCCCGCACCCACCCATGATTTATTTAGGATGATCATATGCAGAAATTCAAGTAAGTAAGAGTCAAAAATACAGCCTTTCAACCTACTGCTCAATTTCTTTCACAGAAGACATAGCTTACAGAACAATGTCGCTTTAAATCTACCTCAGAAGATGGTCTTTCTGGCCCACAGGATGCCAAAATGACTTGATGATTTATTTCTGTGGAGCTTGGCAGGCCGTAGTCCAGATTGTGGCTGAAGCTGAATTTTATGAGCATTTCCCCTTGTGAGTAGATTTAAAAATATTTAAGAAAAATAAGGTCGTTCGAGAGTTTGGCACAAGTTTCAAGCAAATATTATCAGGAAGAAGAATGACTGGGAGAAAAGTTTTAAGGCAGTATATAAATATTAACCTATTGGTATTATTGTGTTCAGAAGCTTAAGATTTTCCCTGTGATCTTTAAAAAAGGGAAGTTTTCATTTTAGCAAAGAATAACTTTTTGAGTGGAATGTTTTAGCCATATATAACTCGGCAATTCATACAGTGAACTGGTATTTTTTGCACAAAGATAAATGTCTCATTGTCATTCCAGAGGGTATAAGAAGGAGCATGTTGTTGCCGTCATGTAAGAAAGCAATTTTCTGTCCTGTTCTATTGTTTTATAGTATTTTAGTAATTCTGTGACTGATCAAACTTAGATGCTACGGAAAAGATACCCATGTGAGCTAGTGGCAGCAGAAAAGAGCTGGGCATTAGGCGGATCATGGGTGAACCTGTGCTACTCATTTACCTGGTTTCTGAGGCTCCATCCACACCAGACCAATAACTGAATTTAAATATGGTTTCTCAGTTCAGTTAAACACTTCTCCAGTTAAAACATTTTCTAGCACGATTCACCTGCTCCATATGGACATAGTAAAACTGTTCTAATCCAAACACTGGAATGTGGCTGTTAAAAAACAGCTATGCTGAGGAGTAAGGAAATGTGCTGAGGTGCACAGCACCAGTGGCAAATGCCAGAGGTATGATTCCTACTATGGAGAAAGGCAGGAAGAATGCTTTCAGAGTGCTGGAGGTGACAGATTGAGGCAGCAACTGCTACACCTTTTAAAAGGGTATTGTGCACACTCCTGGTAGTGATGGACTCTAGACACTAACCATGTCCTTTCCCTTGCTATGTCCTCTTTGGGATGTCTAGCACTCCTGATGGCACTTACATTCCCTCCCCCTCCCATATCCCTTATGCTCAGCATCAAGA